CAACAGAGTCCCCGTTCTGCTCGCCCCTCGCTATTTAAGGGGCAATCGTCATTGTTCCCCATTGGCTTTCCATTGTCATTGTGCGCATGCTCGCTTACGCACGTCTGTGCGTCTGTCCTCAACGTGACCTCACTGACAGCAGCAACTCAGCTCCAGGGCCATCTTGCTTCGGGTGTGCCTTCTTTGTCCTGGCATAGTGTCCGCCCTTTGAAAGTCGCGTGACTTGCCCCTTCCGACGTGACCTCGGACTGTCTGTGTCGCTGTCTGCTTGACGTGCTCGGTCATCCTAACAATAACATAAAAGAACAACTGTCTACAAAGTTTTCGTTTTTGTACCATTGAGCACTATTGACGCACACGCTTTACTTTATCTAGCGTGCTTTGACAGAAAAGAACTTACTGCTGGATTACTAATATCTTACCTCCATGACCCACAGGGCACCTTACTAATTGAATATAGAGGAACGGCTGACCTTCCGTGGGGGCGAATAAGTGGCAAAAAGATCACGATATGGAGCAACTGGTGCCCCTCAATATAGCAACCAACTGTGAAAACATAGTTTACTTTTTGTGTTTAGCCCTCATTAATGGTGATATGAAACTGGTTTGAGTGCAATGAACACACTCCGGTTGTCGCTTCGGTTCGCTAGCAAACCGGCTTGAAGATCGACAGCGCGTTTATCGTAACATGCTAAAGTTGTGTGTAAGACCGGTGCTGGTCATGGAATACATGTAGGTGCCTAACCAGCCCAAATGTGGTATTCGCAGACGGCATTATGTATCCATGTTCGCCGCTTAGCCATATATCAGAACCAGATGGCTAACAGATCCGGATATTCGACTGGCGGACGGGAGATAGAACAGAGAGAGAGAAAAACCGAATCGGAGGACTCCATCTCTCCCTCCCCCCGTTACATCGGCACATTCATAACAATAATATATATGCTAAGCCATGGAATTATCACGACGTGTAAAGGTTGTGGCTTGAAAGTTTACCGTCTGAAGATGTAATTCAAACTTAGTAGTCAGCCCTGCGTATGGAGAGTGAGTGAATGGTGGGCTCAGAGTCAGTTTTAGTTGTACCTTTTTAGTGGCCTTATCTAGGAGTATTAGGGTTTAATAAGATTTAGCTCTAACGACTGCGATCTTCTAGGCCCGTTTCCTTAGGAGATGAGAGAAGTCTTGGGAAAGCCAGATTGTTAGAAGAGTATAGGAATGAATAGGAGAATAGGCAGTAGGAAATTGACGATCAGACGACCACACAACCGCAAGCCAGCGGACGGCGTCTGAAGTTAGGCCTGCTCTGCAGTTGTCACATAAAGGCATGTGTGAGTCGGTCTGTGATTGGCTGTTACAGAGCCTGGAAGACAACGAGCGTTCCAAACGTGCACTTCGACTTGAGCTAGTCCCGACAGGCGTTCACAAGTCCACTTCGTGTGGAGCTGGTCACTACAGCCTCTATAATACCCCCAGTCCTGTGAACTCCGATCCGCCTCCTTTTATGAGACCCTGTGTATTTTATAGGAGACGGGTTATTTGCGAATGTGTGTGGCACGCGTAGACTGGTTCTTGAGTGCTGTCAAACACTTACGCCCAACTCCCCCTTCCCCAACTCAGATAGCCGACCGACTTGGATAGCGGACCGACGCATGAGAGAGCGAAGAGAGAGAGAGAATGGGATCGACAGTGCGGAATTTATGCAAAGAGCATTTCAGCGGATTCCTCACTGCAACAATAAATTTGACTTGCTCTGAATCTATCACGGCACGCTATAAGTCGTGGCTTGGAAGTCT